CACACACACACACACACACACACACACGACCTTGGAAGTGACGGCAGGGTTAGTCCGGTTATGAGGTAGCCTCCCGTTTGGCCATCCAGTTTGGCTCTTGCGAAAAGCTACCTTACCATTTGATAGAATGGACTCGCGATATCTTGGGTAGGTTGTCTGTCTCCACTGGTCCGTCGCCACTAGCATTTGGACCCTGAGGTTCTTCAAAACGTTGTTTGATCGATTGATTGAACGTAGCAACCAGATGCCACCGTCTATCATGGGCAAATGCTGGCAATGATACCGAAAGGACCCGAGCCCTCGCACCAGCCTACCAGTGTGACGATATTGCACGCTACATGATCCAATATCCCTTTCACGTACACCCAAGAGCCATCTACCTGTCTATGAAGATATTCCCAAAAGTTGTTTCATTTGCATGATGATTGATTCTATTACAATGTATGGAATGCCCAGGTAGGTAATCGCTCATAAAGTCTCCCCAATCGATCGGTCCCGTCGCGCGCTCCATCAATCAGTCAGCTTTGTTACGTTACATGCCAGGATAGCTCGTGTCCACTAATAGATAGTAGCCAGCCCCTCCCCCCCGGCTAGGTACTGAGGGGACCGACCTGGAGCATCAAAAGTCATCTGAGAAGGTCAACGTTAGCAACCCGAGCTAGGAGTTCAACGGTCTCTTTTTCTCTCCATGCTCGTTCACTCACGCGACGTGCCAAGATTCTTTTGTTCCTTCTCTTACCGCATTCATGTCTGGGGGAAGTCTCACCGTATCCAACATTGGTATACCCTCTCCGCCTTTCAGCAGGCTGTCAGAACAAGCACTAGATACCCAAATACCAGAAGGATGGGAAAGAAAAGATACAAGAGGTACCTTTAGCGCAGCTTCTACCCCAGCTTTTCTCCAGCAGACGAGCCAATCAAGGACCTGGTCGCCACTGGAGAAGTAGCAGTGGGAAGTGAGATACTGGCACAGCTCGATACCTGCCTGGCTACATTAGCATAACGTAGCAAATAAGCCAACCAGAAAAGAGCCTGCGGGCCGACTGGTAATCACGGATCTCAGGGATTCCTACGGATATCATGTACACTACGTACGGCCATTTTGCTTATCGGCAGGCAAAAGAGACAATCCCTGCTTCGTTTCCTTTTTCTCGTTGGGTGGACATTTTTTGGGCAAGATTGAATTGGGTAAACGAGCCCATCATCCACCGCCGACTTCTTTGCAAGTAAGACAGATGGGAAGATTGTTGAAATACAAATCACAATGGTTATCCTCTCCAATACTCGATCGCATTCAATTGCTGATTCGCACAACATTCCGCTACTTGAGGGAGTCATTCAGTCAGTTAGTCGGTCGCTCACTGGTCAAGCACCAAAATAGAACAAAAAGCACGGCTACCTAAGCCACTGTCCCCGTGTGCCGTGTTTAAGCATCTTGTATACCATCTACCGAGGGCGCAGATTGGCTGCTTGCAACGCCACCTCCCACTTGGGGCAGCTTACGGTTGCGCCGCCTCGGCTGGTGTAGTTTTTGGCTTTCTGTCGATCAACGTCGTTTCGTGATCACTTTTTCCCCTTAGCCTCCATGCTTGTAAAATCCCCTTTGACAGTATCGATTGTTTGGACAGCCCTCCTCTTGCCTTTTCGTATAGCCAACCCATCATCATCATCATCATCATCAGTCAGTGGTTCCTTTTATTGCCAGCGATTTTGATTTTGGTGCACTTCTCGTATCGGACCAGGGGGGTAAATGAAAAGGAAAAAAGGGCAGTGAACTTGCAATGCGCCTCGGCACCAGCAGACAGATTAGACTTTACTCGGATCGGAAAGCCTTCCTCCACTGATTGACTCTTTTCTTCGTCCGTCGGTTTGCTCGACTGACAACATGTACTACATTTGACTCGACGCGGCATGTGGCTGTCAAGTGGTTACAGACTTTCATTTTTTTTTTTTTTGGACACACCGATTGACCTGGTGTCACGTAGTACTTGACTTTTGCTGACTTTACCTACTTGACCTCCTCCTTCTCCTCCTCCTCCTGATCATTCCCTCAGGTAGCAGCTAGGTCAAGGTAGCTTGTGCTTGTAGCAGCAGCAGTAGCAGTAGTAGTAGTCCTTCCATGTTCTCCATAGTTGCGGTGCATACTACATTACCCTACCTACCCGAGGAGGCTCTAGTTGGTAGTAGTATCGCGCACCTGATCACCAACTTCTATCTCGTCCATACCACGTTTCTCATGACTACTATCTACGATTGAGATTCTCTGCAGCAACAACCCATCCATGTTCTCCACCATTATCATCCCACATCAGGTCAGTCGCTTGATAGGCCGGGACAATTCACCAATCAATTGATCTTCTTATGGTTCTTTCCAACTGTGTGGTACAACCCGGACATTGCTGCTACCACTTTGCATCCCGCCCTGTTTAAGAAGAAAGAAAGAAAGAAAAAATCCACCCCAGCAGCAAGATATCAACAGCATACAAGGTCTCGGACCCCCCGTCCTGCGTTCCCGTTCCCCGTTCCCATGCTTGTCAATTTCCCTACTTATCTCATCGGTAATAAAACATTTTTTTGACAAGCAAAACATAAGCAGACAAAAAAAGGTCCAGTCTGTTCTGCGCCTCCGCCTGCCCTGTACACCACACTCCACACGTCCCTGCTACCATTTACTACCTTACCTAGCTTCTGGGTTTGTAGTACAGATCAGCAAAGGACAGAACCGCTTTTGAAGAAACGGCCAGGCCCCCCCGGCTCCACCCACGCCGGCGCATCCCTGATCGACAATCAATCGCATGGTTCGTTTGGTTTGATTCTTAAAATCGACACGATCCCGCATTTCGCATTTCCCTTGGAATCGGGTGCCTCTGGTTTTCTTTCCTTTTCCCTTTCTTAAACCATTCTGCCTTGTGGCATCTTCCGGTCGAAGCTTGGACGATTTAGTTGTCTGTTCGGCAGCTTGCATACTACCAAGGTATACAAAAAAACGTCCTGACCCGCCGCAACAACCTCTCCTTGGATTGTTTGCCTATTCCCAGGTCCGCCTTGTCGTCCTTTTTTCGACCTTTTCGAAAACTTGACCCTCGACCTCGGGCCTCGTACAGAGCTTTGTGTAAGTTGGAATAAATGATCCGGCGGATTGCATCCAATTGCATTTGTTTTGCATTACATTGATGCGCACCACCCTTGCATTGGTCCAACCTCTCACTGATTTCCTTCTTTCCTTTTCCCTGCATTCCACCTGTACCACCACCCACACACTTTTTGGCACCTACCTAAGCTACCAAGCAACAAGCTACTGCTGCAGCATTGATTGCCTGCATATTCCTCTCTTCCTTTCAGGGTCCAGGGATCTTTTTACCCCTCCGGCCCTTCGACAGTCCCCAGTCCTTTATCATGTGGCGACCTGCCCACATGCTACTGTTCTATCAGCAGCAGCAGCAACTTTACAAAGCCTGAATGCTGACCATATTTCTTTTACACAGCAAGGCAGCCACCTCATTTTCTTCCTAGCACAACCTCAGCCTTCGGCATCTCACCACCAAGGGAAGGAAAAGGAAAGAAAGAAAACACTTTCATCATGGCCGAAGAAACCAAGGCAGACCTTGGGACCACGACCGTCTCGGGCTCAGAAACACATGCATCCGTTGAGCCTATTCAGCGCCCGGCAGGATGGATGTACAAAGGCTTCAAGGTCGGCAAGCGGGAGCTTTGGTACGCGTCGCCCAAAGTGCAGCTCTTCATGGTCGCCATGGTCTGCTTCCTGTGCCCCGGAATGTACAATGCCCTGACCGGTCTGGGTGGTGCCGGTCTCAAGGACACCACGGCCCAGACCAACGCCTCCGTCGCCCTCTACTCTGTCTTTGCCGTCATTGGTTTCTTCTCTGGTACTTTCGCCAACAGGCTGGGTCTCCGCGTGACCCTCGCCCTCGGAGGACTGGGATACTCGGTCTATGCTGGAAGTATCCTTTGCTACAAGCACACATCCAACATGGGATACGTCATCTTTGCCGGTAGTTTCCTGGGTTTCTGCGCCAGTCTTCTTTGGTGCGGACAGGGCGCCATCATGATGGCCTATCCCCCCGAGCACGCAAAGGGTCGCTACATTAGTTGGTTCTGGATCATCTTCAACCTCGGAGCAGTCATCGGCGCTCTGATTCCCCTCGGCCAGAACATCAACAACACGGGCGGCGACGCAACCGATGGCACTTTTTACGGCTTCATCGTTCTCATGCTCGTCGGCGCCGTGCTTGCGCTCTTCCTTTGCGATGCCGACAAGGTGCAGCGCGAGGACGGCTCCCACGTTGTCGTCATGAAGAGCCCGTCTTGGTCCTCCGAGTTCATCGGCCTCTGGGAGACCATTACGAGCGACCCCTGGATCGTTTTGCTGTTCCCCATGTTCTTTGCCTCCAACATCTTCTACACCTACCAGCAGAACGGCATCAACGGAGCCCACTTCAACGCCCGTGGTGCCTCGCTCAACAACCTGCTGTACTGGCTGGCCCAGATCTTTGGCGCCGTCATCTTTGGCTATGCTCTCGACTACCCCAAGCTTAGCCGTTCCGTGCGCGCAAAGGCATCTCTGGTCGTCCTCTTTGCCCTCACCTTTATCATCTGGGGTGGCGGATGGGCCTGGCAGAAGCAGCAAGTCAGCCGCGAGGTCAGCAGCACCCAGGAGTACCAGGACAACCACCTGTTGGACTGGGACAATGGCGGTGGCAAGGGCTTCGTCGCCCCCATGTTCCTGTACATGTTTTACGGATTCTACGACGCCGCCTGGCAGACGTGCATCTACTGGTACATGGGTGCCCTCTCCAACTCTGGCCGCCGACTTTCCAACCTGGCTGGATTCTACAAGGGTATCCAGAGTGCCGGTGCTGCCGTCTTTTGGCGCCTCGACAACCTGAAAGTCGAGTACAACACCCTGTTTGGTGCTACAGTAAGTTTTCATCACGTTGCACAAGATTAAAAGAAACCCCACCACCACACCGAGTATAAATAGAGGCTAATTACTGTTTGTTTCTCTAGTGGGGTGTTTGCGCCGGCGCTCTCTTGATTGCAGGTCCCATTGTCTTTATCCGAATTACCGACACGATCCCGCTCGAGGAGGATCTCAAGTTCAGCGACGAGACCGTCGAGGACGTTGCGCCGACGGCTGTCCTGGAAGAGGCTGGACACGAGACCAAGCCCACCACTGTTTGAGCATGACGATTGCATGATCGAGCCAGAGGAGATATTTCGTAGTAGTCGAAAGACGAATAAGTCGCTTGTTTCAACAAGATAATAAGTCTGGGCCGCGTGCATCATTTCTGTGTGAAATACAACCAGGAATGGTCGAGTACGCAAAAAGGCCCGGAAGGATTCATGAGAACAGACAGTTTTCTACTCTGTAGAACAAAACGTCTGGGCATGAATGGAAGATAGGGGAATTGTTCGATCCTTGCAATTAGTTGATACCTCTTGCATTTCTGTACTTAATGAGACAACGTTGAGCCTTGATATATCTGAAGTTGTAGAAAAGTCTGGAACTGTGTCTGCCGACTATTTTTTTTTTTTCCCCCGGCATTGATTCATTTCCAAATTTTTAGTATTATGCTTTGCCGCATACCAGTAAATGGCTGCCCAAGAGATTGTATATCAAGGAGTCGGGTTATAGACAAAAATATCTTAAATGGTTGGACCTATCAGGAAATACAGTATAGACCCTGCCTATTGTACTAGGCTTTATATATAACCCCCCATCTATTTTGAGAATGACTCTCCCATTCTCTGGTCCTCACCCCAGTGTATATGCATCAAGAGAACAAAGTAAAAATAAAAAAGCGCCTGATCGCCAAACTTGATATATGCAAGACCATGTGCCCTGAATGTGCCCTCAACTTGGGGGGTGTTCTCTCTTAGTAGAGGCCTGTTTTTTTAAATTCCTTCGCCGGTTTAAACTCGAGGGGAACAAGACAAGATAATAAACAAAAGTTTACCAGCTCTTGACCTTCTTCATGCTGCCCTCCTCCTGGAGAGCCTTGTGGAGGTCGAAGCTGTTGAACAGCAGGTGGGGCTCGTGTCCCCAGCCCTTGCGCAAGCACTCAAACTCTGCCTTGTCGAGGTAGCCCTGGAGGATGGGCTTGTAATCGGCGTGGGCGCACTTGTCGATAATGACGCGGGCGCGCTCCTTGGGCGACAGGCCGCGGACGTCGGCCAGGCCAGTCTCAGTCACAACCACGTCGAGGTCGTGCTCCGTCTGGTCAACGTGCGTGCACATGGGCACGATGCAGCTCACACCCGTAGGGTCCGTCTTGGACGGGCGCGTCGACGGCGTGTGCATGATGGAGTACTTTGCCGAGCGCAAGAAGTCGGCCGAACCGCCCAGGCCGTTGAGCATGCGGCTGCCCATGACGCAGGTCGAGTTGGCGTGGGCGTAAATGTCGACTTCGACTGGCGTGTTCATGCCAATGACGCCCAGGCGGCGGATGATCTCGGGCGAGTTGGACACCTGCTGCGAACGGAGCAGGAGCTTGTTGTGGTAGGCTTCCCAGTTGTCGTAGAAGCGCTTGAAGCCCTCGGGCGAGAAGCGAATCGATGTGGCCGTGGCAAACTCGAGGCGGCCCGAGTCAAAAAGGTCCAGGAAGGTGTCCTGGATCACCTCGGTCCAGACCTTGAGGTTCCAGAAGTTGGACTCGGCAAGACCGCCAATGACGGCATTGGCAATGTTGCCGATACCCGACTGGATCGGGAGAAGCGACTTGGGCATGCGGCCGTGCTTGACCTCGTGCTCAAAGAACTCGATCAGGTGGGTGGCAATGGCTGCCGAAGTGGCGTCTGCCGGCGAGTTGGGCAGAGTCTTGTCCTGGTAATCGGACTCGACGATACCGACAACCTTTTCGGGGTCAATGGGCATGGATGTACTGCCGATTCTGTCCTCGACTCTGGTGATCAGGTATGGCTTGCGGTGAGGGGGCAAGTCTGTCAGGGTGATGTCGTGGAGTCCATCAAAACTCGGCAGCGAAGTGTTGACCTCAATGATGATCTACATACTCCGTTAGCGAAAAGTGGGTTGTCAACTTTGTAGTTTTCAAAACTTACCTTGTCGGCCATCTGGATGAGCTCGGGTGTAGCACCAACACTGGCGCCAAGCACAATGCTTCCATCCTCCTTGATGTCTGTCGCCTCTACAACCACAACATCCAGGTTCTTGTTGGGGCGGTCCTTGGTATACCAGCCCTGATTACCAAATTAGCCAAAAAGTACAACAAGACTGAAATCCTCTCCTCTCCAGGTGAATCAGCCGCTTACATAAACCAGGTCGACTGGGAACATGGAAAGATGCTTGTCGAAAAAGTTGATCTTTCCATCATTGATACCCTTGGCAATCGACTTGCCAACTTGATGCGGGCTACGACGGTTGATCATGTCTAGACCGGCCCAGCGGTTTTCCGTCTCGCCTCCCGAAGAGGCTCCCACAAAGAGCGAGTACCTCAGTTGGCCCTGCAGGTTGTTCTTCTCGACATGGTCTGCCAGAAATGTTGGCACTTTCCTGCAGTCCGCGGTCTTAGCCAAAAGGAAGCTTGAGCTGACTGGGGTGTGTGTATTTTTCTTTCGTTTTTCTTTTTATTTGAAGGGTATTAGGAGATCGTAGCGTCCAAAACGTACTTTGGGTATCCAACACCGGTGAATCCGGACCAGCCGATGTAGGCACCGTTGGGAAAATGCTCCAAGAGGTCTTCGGGTTTGCACAGCTTGTTCAGCATGGACGGGCGCTTGATGCGCTCTCTCAAAAGAGCCGACACTGCTGGAGCGGCGACACTCCGCAGTCGGGCAGCTGTGGGATACATGGCTTTTGTTTATTTTTTTTTCCTTCTCCCTTTGAGATGTTCGAACCACGCTAGAGCAGTGGTGTTTTCTCACTAAATGGGGAGCAAGAAGGAAATGTTGAGGTTGTTCACGAGCTGACCTGTCGACGGTGCCCCGCTAGACGGTATAGGTATTGGAAGAAAGAGGATTCAGCAAGAAACACAACGCAAAGTAATTGTAATGAGGAAGAAGAAAAAGAAGGAGAGAAAGAAACAAGAGTCCGCAGACCGGAGCGTCGAAGTTTAGAAAGTCAATTCGAGAAGGAAAGTGGTTCGACGAATGGGGCCCACTTTGTGACGATTAGCTAAAGGTCCGAATTGGATGCTGCTGTTGAAACCACTCAACTCATCACCCTTCTTTTCAGCACAGGCAAGAACGCGAAGGCCGAGGTTGTCGCGAGCTGGATCAATGGAGATATTTCTCTCTGGGCAATTCACAGCAATTCCCCAATGGCTTCCCTCCTTGGGCTCTTGACATTTTTATGGTCTTTCTGTTGCTTATTGTCTTTTGTCGTCGGCTCTTCTTTTTGCTCCGTTTTGCTAAGGCAAGTGATGAGCACTCTCATTCTTTTTTCCTCCCAAACCCATGATTGCGGGATGACGTTGATTTGCCCTTGGGGCTGTCGGTGACAAGGGTAAGCTCCAGCTAGCTGGTTCCCTACCCCTTCCCAGAGAAGCTGTTTTTCAGGGCTTCTAGAGCCCACACCAAGCGCAAACGGGTTCGCCTCTAACCGCTGTAAAATGTCCCCTCCAGCCCCAGGGGGGAAAGGGAGAAAGTCTCACATAACATGTGGGTCCTCCCACTATATTAGCTCTGCATAGCTTCGCTCGGCCCGAGCAGAAGGGCTGCTCCTCCGTTCGTCCGGCCTGGGGCTGAAGGGACTTTACTGCATGCACTTCTGCGTTGCTATACTAAGGATTCCAGAGTGAATACCTGGTATACAAGTCACACTTTATTCATGGCACGTACATTGTCGAAACCCTTTAAAAGCAATCAACACCGACACCTCCATCAATCAATGCTGGCCACAAGTAATCTGCATACAGAAAAAGCAGCCGCCGGCATGGACGAAGCTTTGGATAATCACTGCGGCGTGCTTACAAAATAGTAAAGGACGTTTAATTCATCTCTCTTGGTCTTGTTAGTCGTCGCCATGAGACTCTAGCCACTCCGCTCCAATCTTCATAATAAGACGAATCAAACCAGTGATTGCAACTCAACCATGACCCATCACTGCTGTATATACCACGTCTGTTCGTTCATGAGAGTATAGTATCGTACTGGCAAATGCATCCCTGTAAAACATGGGTGAGACCACCTATTAAGGTTATTCGACATGGTATAAAGCTTCCAGAAGGGAACCCCCGGCAAACAGAGATCATCCAACAGGTTAAGAAGCAGCAGCACCACGAATGAAGACTCGGATAATATTAATCAGCAGTAGGGTTTGGCTTGTATGGAAATAATTGTATACCACATTGTCCGAACTATGGAATAACTGGTTGTGAAGGAGTTGTACAATTCATATTTTACATAAATGCTCCGCTCATCCGAAGTACAAGTACAAGTTTACACAATCAACATGATTCAATGCATATATATCTAAGCCTCCTTCCTGAATAAATCTCTCCACATTTCACGGAAGCCGTAATTAGGCGTCTTGGAATCATAAATCTTGCTACGGTGCGTCTCGCCGTTGAACCGGTCGAGGATGCCGCCGGGTCGGTGTCCCACGCTCTCGGCAGCCGGCTTGAACGGCCGCGTCGCCCGCTCCTTGATGGCGGCGGCCAGCTGCGGCGCCACGTCGGCGTAGCACGCGTTGAGCTCCCGCTCCAGTGAAAAGTACGGCTTCTTGGCCAGCGCCGGTGCCATGAGGTTATAGGACCGCGTCAAAGTGTTGAGGTTTTCTATCGATAGGTTCATGTATGTTTGCTCGGTGCGCAGCCATTCCGGGTCGCGGAATGGAGGCGGGAGCGGCGTTTCGTCTATAGTGGTGACTGGCTGTGGTGTTGCCGTGGGCGCATCAGCCGCAATGTCGCCTTCTTTGCTGGAAATGACGCTGTCGGCAGTAACAGCAGCAGTGATGGCAGCAACAGCAGCAGCTCCCTCGGCCGTGCCATCCTTATCCGCAAGCTCTGCAGCCATCTCTGTTGCAAGCTGTTCTCGCAGCTTTGCCATGACGGGATCATCTGTCGTGTTGGTCGGCACGGCAATTTGCTCAACATCCCGCCGACGCGGGTTTTGTACCTGCTCGGCCTCGGCATACCGTTGCGCCTTGGCCATTTGTGCTTGAACCGATCCGCCTTTGCTTGCAATTGTCCGCGCGGCATGGCGCTTCCAGTCATTGCGCAGGCGCGTTCGGAAGGTGTGTGCCGTTTTGACAAGCTCTTGCTGCTTTTCTATCCACGGCGGCACCACTGCAGTACTCCGAGATTAGCATGAATTTCTCGGCTATGCAAGAAATAAGAGATGAAATCGTATGCATGCTGCATCACACAAGGGATTGCTTACTATCCTGCCGTTTGATCATCTTATTCATGATATATTCCGTAGTGTCAATAAACGGATTATCCGAGCGCGTATCACGCTCAATTCCCTTCCCGCGCGGTATATTCTTAAACTGGCCGCGCGCAATGGCATCTTCGATGCGCTCGTTCGCCAGCGATGCCAAGCCCGTAATGGTATTGGGCATTGCCCGAGCTGCAGGCCGGAACCGCTCGCGAAACTCCTTGCGCATGGCCTCGCGCTCTTGCTCATTGAGTCCATTCTGTTGCTGCTGCTGCTCGCCCTCCCGGCCGAGCCCCATTCCCGTGTACGCCGCCGCTAGCTCTCGAGCGCCCGCGGCCCGTTGGCCTGACGTCCGGGTATCGCGCGGCGCAAGCCGCATGTCGACGGGTTTCAGATCGGGCAGGCGGGGCTTTCCGCGCAGGCCGGGGGCCAGCGGCTTGCGCGCCTCGTCGAGCATGCGCAGGACGGCATCGCCGGTGCTCTCCTGGCCGGTCCAGGGCTCGCTCGATACCAAGTGGGCAGTGCCGCGGCCGGCAGACGACGGCATGTCGGCCTCGGCAAAGGCGGCTGCGTGGTCGGAGCGAAACTTGGCGTCCTGTACCTTGGCGAATAATCGCTCCTTGAGCTCCTCGGAGAACCCGGCATCCTCGACCGCCCGCCGCCCTGCGCGGCCTCCTGTCAGCAGGACCTCTTCTGTGGCTTCCTCGAGGCGCCGGGCCATGGGCCCCGGTTCCGGCTTCTTCGCAGCGGTTGATGCATTGTTGGGTGGAGGGCTGCCGCTGTTTGCGGCTTCGGGCTGCTTGTTTGACGTGGCATCCGACGTGCCGCTGGTGGACGATGCCGATGACGAGTGTCGCACGCGGTCGCCGTTTGATCGTTTACGCTGCGTGGTCACGGATAGAGCCGCCTCTCGGCGCACTAGGGCGGTCTTACATGTCGAGCAGAAGAGGTGTGCAGATCTCGCTATTCCTGCCATTCTTTGAAATTTTTCATGTAATTTCCATAATGACTCCCAGCATCAATCCCCAGTGCCGGGCGGTCCTTCAATGTTGTTGTGCTGGTGGGAGAAAAAAAAAGAGCCAGACAAACAGTGGCGAGGGCGAGGTGGGTAGAAGATGGGTTCGGACTTAAGCAATCAATGACCGCATCTTGGATTTCGAACGGAGCTTTTCGTCTCTGGAGCCGTACACAGATGCTAGCCTCTAATTGGCTGTCATCACCCGCGAATTTAAGACAGACGATAGAGCAAGTGCAAATGCCAAGAATCAGGGCTGATTATAGAAATTTGGTTTTCGTCTTATATATCTCTCTCTTATTTTAAATGGCCTATATAACTCGAATCACTAATTATAAAATGAATTTTTGCGGTTTAACTCCTTGCAAGCATGGTTTATAGTGGCTATCCATTTAAATCTAGTGCCATATTTTCACTGCCAACTGATCGTCTGTTGTTAAGTCTTTTTATTATAAAGAACAAAAGGGTATTTTCAAGCTATACAAGTATGGTCGCTATGTACATCATGATATAGAATAATCTATAAGCTATTCCAGATTTTCAAAGTTCTGGATCCTGAACGCCGGCTAATGCATTTTGGGAACTATCCGTTCCTGTCATGAAGATGATACACAGATCCTCCGATTGGAAAGATCTTGTGCAAAGCCCGCAATAATTTCGTCACTGTCATTTAAAAAGAATGACGTGGAGCTTGATGTGGTTGTGGGTGATCTCTTTTAGAGTCAAGACAGTCGACCTTGAATATGGTCGTAAAGGTTTGACACGGAGATCCAAGCGCTGAAAGGGTTGCTTCAGCTAGAACCAGCCGCTGAATGCCAGTGCTTGTTGAATGGTGTTTTCTTCAAGTTCTGTATCGAACTCTCAAGTTGTTCAACCATGAAACTCCCGGGGAGTCAATTCCGTCTCTTGCGCCTTCTTCAACCAGTTTACACCCTTGGCGACGTGCATCCTAAACCGGTTTGCCGCCGTCTTGCCAATCTCGGTGATTGCGCGCTGGCCAAGAGTAAATTCGGTCCAGAACAAGTGCTCGTTAGGCAACGAGCAGATGCCGCTGGGCGTTTGACCACCCGCGAGAGTCTTTTCTTTCGTGATAGAAGTCGTGTTGGCCTTCATGTTTACTGGCATGCAAGGCTCCCAGACCTCGAGGAAGCCGTCTTCGATGGGCTTTGAGCCGAGTCCATTGTGGTCCACGAGCTCAGAGTCATGGAGTTGACGATCAACAATCAGCTCCTTGATGTACTTGGGAGTGTCCTGCGTGATGGCTTCCCGGCGAGCATTCGGGACGTAGACAGTGCGACCAGAGGCATCATTTCTCTTGACGAGAGCTGTCTCCTGTGTGGTCTCGTTGATGACCGGGTCCGGAATCGAGACCCAAGAATCAATCCAGTCGGCAACCATATTCTCCCACTCTTGGGTAAGATAGGCTGCGTTGCCCATCTCCTTGGCTTTGTTGTGAGGGTGGGGCGGTGCAGGTCGAGCAGTCTCAAAGCCAGGTGTCAGTGAAATGTCGAACAAGGAAGGAATGAAGATGCGGAAAGGCTCGGCTGGCACATCCAAGAGGACAGGTTGATCTGTTGCACTCTCAGGCGCGGTGATGTTTGCCATGGTGTAGTAGTCAGAGTAAGCAATCGAAGTATCCTCCTTGGCCATGCTGTACAGCCTTTCGATCTGCAAGAAAAGCTGCTCTGCTTGCCTCTCCAGTAGCTCCTTTGCGATCTCTCGGGGCATGGTTGCGAGCTTCCAGACTTCCCAATATCCATAGTTGAAGACCCACAGAGTCTCACGGGGAGGGTTGCGGGGCGGCGGTGTTCCTAGGAACGTGTTGATTTGCTGTTCCAGGTCGGGCAGATGCGTGGGCACAGGATACTGTTCGGGCATCCAAGTGTAATCGTAGCCGGAACCTTGGGTAACATTTGGCCAGGAGGTGATCACATCGAGGGTCTGGCCATAGACATCGTTGGAAATAATCGAGCCTCCGTGAGCATCAGTTTGAGGGGTGTAAGACAGGTGCGCATTGCAGTGATCGAGCTGTAAACACTGTTAGAATCATCAAACTTCAGAGATCAAGTTCCCGTGCTTCATTACCTGCTCGCAGAGAACATCAGTCCATGACTTGTCCTCGAAACCAGTCTCTTCCTGTCTCTTGTTTGGGGTGGTGATGTCGCCTCCACCAAAAACCACCACCCTAATGCCACCACCAATACTGCCGTCGTCGTATGAAGACGTCGGCCTCCATTTGAGAATCCTCGTATAACCCGAACCAAAAGCAATGTCGGAAAATCTCGTGGGTAGCAATTTCGTCAGTGCGATGAGGATCACCACGCATATCGCAATTTGAGGCAGCAGGCGTGGGCCTCCGCGCATGGCCTTGGCGGAGAAGAAGGCGAACAGTGTCTTGAGACCGAGCCCCTCGATGAGACCATCGGGTCTATAGTTTTGAAAGTGTTTTGTCAACATCTTGACAGATAAGTAATATGATAGGTTTTTGCAAAGCGACTCGATGTGCGACGCGATGGGAGTTTGCTCAGCAAAGCAGCGTTCTTTCAACAGGCCTGCCTCCTATGCCTCTTTGACTCGATCGATGAAAAAGCCGGACCGACTGCTTAGGGCACTTCCCTCCCCCTTGGTCGCCGGCACTCTTTTCAAGATTTGTTGACAGCAGCCTCGTTTTGTTGATGGCGACTTTGGTTTCCGAAGAATTGTTTCAATGTTTATTTAACATGAAGAAGACGTGAACAGATGAAGAGAGTTGTTGGTCCTTGAGAAAAAAGACACAGACCGGGAATAAAGGTGTAAGGTCGATCTGCCAAGCCGTTTCGGGGTGGTATGCGGCGTGCCAAGAAACCGTTGGCTGGGCTCAAGTACCGAAGCGCTGGGCTATTCAACGTCACGTCACAGGCCGCGATAGCCGGGTTTGATCGCCGAGCAACTCGCAAGAGGATCCGGTCAGAGCATATGATGGACTACACAACACTGTTGCGAATATCCAATACGTAAAGATCTATTCCCTTGGGAAGTCGAAAGGATGGGGAAACTAATGAGGGGAAGACAAGAGTAAAGAAATAAGAGAGAGAAGAGAGTTTTCGGATGAGAAAACAGAGTGTGCAAGACGAAGGAAAACGGGTCAGTCTTGAATGGATTGACATGGGGACTCGACGGCGGATGGTATGGAGAAAGCATCCAGTAGTCAAGTCATCAGTCCACCGACCGACGGACAAGAAAAGAACAAGAACAGACCATTGCCTATCCAGGTTCCTGCGCTGCGCTGCGCTGCGCTCGCTCTACGCTCGGCGGTCATCTTGGGGCGGGTTCCACAAACCACGGGCTAAGCATGAGTACGTATTCATTGCGGGAGATGCTCCATAGGGGAGACATTAGAGGTGTCAAGCCTTTTTTTCCCCCTTCCTTCCATCAGTGTGCAGCGGTGCGTGCAAAGCGTGAGCAGACAGGCACACGCGCACAAGAGATCGATCATCAGTACCTGATTCCCAAAGCGGGAGGCCAGGGTAGGTAGTTGGCCGCGAGTCGTCGTCGTCGTAAGTCGTCCTCGCAGTAGGAGGAGCCGATGGGCGGTGCGCTGGGGCTGTCGTAAGCTTGTGGAGACGGCCTGGCAAGCCCCTGTGTTTCAATAACCCATGGTCCAGGAATATCCCACACTGACACAAGGCCACCTTACAGACATGGCTAGGCCCTGTCGGTCGTCTCTTTTTTGTCTTTGTAGTGTCCGGGCTGGGGGTCGGGCGGACTCTTTGAAAGAGAGGAGACAGGCCAAAAGAGAGAGACGGAGACATTTTGAACATGGGATTGTTGGTTTTTGGCCTTCTGTACCGTTTCCTTTTTCTTCTGGTGGATTAGCTACCATAGGCTAAGGCGCGACTTGAACCCAGAAGCGACTGGCGTTGTGGGGAGAGTCGCGCGACAGCCTCGCTTCATCTGACGACGTCTTCATCTTTTTATAGTGAAATGAGTTCAACTTGCCAGCTCTCTGACTGACGCGGCCATATAATCAACAGTCGGTCGATTCATGGGCATTGAATTGACGAGCGAGGCTCAGCTCTCAACTCTCAGCTCGGCTGTGGTAGGTATCTGTTTGTGTATGAAGAAGGAAAGAAAAAATCAATCGGCAGTCGGTACCCATTGTTCAATCTTACTGCTGCATACCATAGTACTACCACTACTTTTCAGTCAAAAAATTGATCGACCTATCTACACTACGTATCGAGCAGGCGCATATTGATGGTAACGGGGCGCGGGTCAGGATGGAGAAGATATCTGACAAGAAGATGCAGCTGAGTTGCTGGGCACTCTAGACACTCAAAGGCACTGGCCGGTGTTGTCTCTGTATCAAAAAGCGATCGTCATGAACCAAGCCCCAAACCCGCTTACATCCATCCCCCCCAACCACCCCCACCCCACCGGCAGACACAACAACTTTGTTGACCATGACTAGGTGTGATATGATTCTCACACTTTGTAACAAATCCGACCAAGACTCGGAAATATCGGCTCTGGGATGAGATGCCGCCCAAGTGGTATTGAAAGGAATGAGCAGGGCAAGGGCAACTTAAAAAAAAAAAAAAAAAAAAAAAAGGCACGCGACCCATTAACCAACATGGCCCGTTAGCGCGCTGTACAAACACTAGACGCCGAAACGTGATAGGGGGAAACTTTGCCAATTCAACCATGACCTTGCTCCTCCCCCGCAGAACCGAGATGCAGCCCTTTTGACGCCGAGTAGTGAGAAGAAGAAAAATGCTACCACGGAATTAATTGGGGGGAGGAGAGGAGAAGAGAAAGAAAGAAGAAAAAACAGCACCTGCCAAGACTGGCGTGTCGATCATCTTGAGCTCCCAGCTTGCCCAGAGTTTCTAGCGGACCATAGGGATCGATAGTTGAAACCCACTTCACTGACTTGTTGCTTGAGGAGCCGCAAATTTGGCCGGCAAACACTTTTTTTTGGTTGGTTGGTTGGTTGGCTGCTACCTGTCTGTTTACAGGCACTTTGGAAATAAATTTGGGCCTGCTGTTTTAATGGGCGCGGGCGACCGGGAGAACTAAAAACTGCCGCCCGTCAATTGTTGTTGATGATGATGATGATGATGATGATGATGATGATGATGATGATGATGATGATGATGATGATGATGATGATGATGATTATTATTATTATTATTACAATGCGCTCACTACTGCACAGTCTCTATATAACGCATAATGAGAAATCGACTGCCCCCCATCCATCCAGTTTGTATGAAATGGGCGCAAATCCAATCTGCAAAGTGTTTTGTTGGCAGGACATTTTAGTAGGATTTTTAAAAAGTCTTTCTAATGACACCCGAAATATCCGTGCTGACCCTAATGTATGCAAGTCGGCGGCTTCCCCCCTTGGCGCTGATCCTCGTATATTCGGATTATATGGAACGACCATGACGTTCTTTTGTCGTATCTGGCAAACCAACTGGCCCTCGGCGCGCTTGGCTCTTCCCAACTTTGCATCTTGGGACTCTTGGCTGTCAATAGGCGGCCGCCCGAGATAAAAAAGGGAGCCCCATATATTACTGGAAGAAAATGATCAAGCATATGTAGCCCGTATGTACCTGCATCCTCCAAGCCCCTCCAGTGCCGTTTCTTTCTAGTCACAAAATGCGAAGGAATGGAATGAGTACCTTTTGTTTCTTGTTCAGCCTTGAAAGGTTGCCGAAATGCCGGATCACACAAATGATATAGAACAAGGTTGTTTTTTACCTCTTGGTGGCCCAGTTTTTACAAATTCGATGAATTACATACATCAAGTATTACAAGACTCCAGGAGTTCCCCCCAAGTGGCTCCTCTCTCAAATGCCTTCCCCATGGCACCTGAACAATGCTCGCTCCTCCTTACGTGAATCGCAAGTGCTAGGCCTACCTAAAATACAAGCGCTCCGTTTTTATTCGT